CTAAGTGAACGTAAGTACTTACACTCTATTTTCTTGTCTATGATTGGTGGATTTTGCTTGCGTGGCCGTCAGTAATTGGCTGATGGACTTACGATCTTTTAATTTTTTGAAAGTATAGGCCCTGACCTTGTACTACGTCGATACCGCTGAAGAAAGGTCCAACATCAATGTTACAACATCGGCCACGCTTGATATGGCTTCGGTATATGCACACGAGATTAAAAATTAAGAAGGCTAATAGTGAACGATGTTCGCCGTTCACAATGAGAATAGAGAATTTTTTTCTTCAATGAAAAAATCCTGATTGCACTTGCTGTGATGCTCATTAGAAATTTTGTTCGAAGCCGTAGCTTTCATTTCAGAAAGCCAAACATTAGGTAGAGAATAACGTATAAGCCTACGAAATATCTTTAGGATTGTCAAATTGCGCATCCTGCAGCCTATACAGCCTGACTGAGCAGCCTGCCGCTCCCACCCCCCCAGCCTAACGCATTTCAACACTCTAATTCTACTTCATAGGTACGTACGACGAGAGAATATTTAATTAAAGAATTAATTAAAGCAGAGTAGCAACAACGAAAATTGTTAACTGAATGATCGTTTTCAGCATCTATCAGGCTGCAGCTAAAATGCCGTCCTCAATAACTGAGCTATTGAAGAAGCCACTGAAGTAACATCTACCCGCTTAGCTTCACAATAAATGACCAGAGGAAAACCAAGCAACATCGCGACTTCACCTCAAAGAAACATGAACGCAATGCTGGTTGCAGCGAACGACTTGCGTTCCACAGTCAGATTATTCTGAGGACCTCGAGGTTTGGCGGCGCGCAGCATGCAGCATGAGTTGCGTGAGCGAAACCCAGCACGCCTTGACCCGCACACACCCTGCCCTCTACTTTTCTTCCCCCACTCACCCTAGCCAGCACCCTCCACGCCCCAACTAACCCTGCCCAGCACAAACCCATCCTCCCACTTTTCTTCCCCCACTCACCCTGGCTTGCACCCTTCCTGCCCGAACTCATCCTGCCAGCATCCTCCCTGCTCCTCCCCCACTTACCCTGACCAATACCCTCCCCTCCCTAATCAAGGGTATAATCAAGGGTATAATCAAGGGTATATTCATGGGAATGATCAAGGGTATAATCAAGGGTATAATCATGGGAATGAGATACTGAAAGTGCCGGCAAATTCGCATTTCAACTACCGCTCTCGATGCGATCTTGATTGCTAAATAATCTAGCTGACGCAAACAAGATATAACTAAAACATAATATTTCAATAACATAGTTGATCGTATTACCCCTAACAATATATAATATATTGTTATATTAATGACCTGCAGGATGTTATCGTGCCTGTAGGACTGCAGCAGCCGCAGCTCCTCGAGCGTCTGGCTGATGGGCAGCGGCAGGGGCGCCGCCCCCGGCACCGTGTCGCTGCTCTGCCCGTAGCAGTGATACGCTCCATACGTAGCAGTGATACGCTCATACACGCGCCCGTACCAGTGATACGCTCCATACACACGCGCCCGTACCAGTGATACGCTCCATACACACGGGTATCAGTGATACGCCCCACACATACGGGTATCAGTGATACACTTTACAGACACGGGAATCAGTGTGTAGGATGTGTAGGATTTCAGTATATTAGCTGAATATTCAGGAGTACTTCGGGAAACAGTGGGAGTATAAGAACATAAGATAACCAATATGTGGAAGGTAGAATTAAGCAGAGGGGTTGACGATGAACATAAGTAAACAATATGTGGAAGGTAGAATTAGGTTGAGGGGTTAACGATCCTGTATAGCAGCGTACGAATTAACACGTTGACTACGAAGTGGTACATATGCGTACCACGAAATGTATTTCTCCAGGACGTAGTGATACATAATTCGGGTTGCCTAAAATTGGCCAAATCCGCGAACAAAAAAGGCCAAAAAAGGCCGATAACTCAATGTATACTAGTTTATTTGTAGGTTCCGCTATAAAAATTCCATTTATTTTCTTTTTGCAGTATTCAAAATTTAATTATGAAGTACCCCTTTTACAAATTTTAGCAAGCGAACGCAATTGAGGAAAACTAAATCGCGGAATTTGTCCGGAAAAAATGACCGTCTGGCAACCCTGATTGAAAACAGTACAAAAAATGAAATAATAGTACAAAATGAAGCAATCGTAGTCAAGGTGTTAAGGGCAGACTTGTTTTGGGATAAAAAATTTTAATAGTAAAAGGAATTCAGACAACTGCAGTGATATGATTAATATCCTAGAGTTGTGGAGATATTCTACTGTCGATATTGCATGTATCAATATTGTATTTATTATCTGCTTACTGATACTATGCTTGCTAGTAGGGAAGTTATCCCACTGATAATCCGTAGGATATGTATGATAATCCGTAGGATATGTATGATAATCCGTAGGATATGTATGATAATCCGTAGGATATGATGATAATAGGGAAATTATCCGACTAAGAGATATCGATCTCAAAGATATCAGAGTAGGTGCTGATACTGCCAGGGCCCATACTTTCGAAAAAAAAAATTCAAATATCGTAAGTTCATCAGCCAATCATTGACGGCCTTCCAAGCCAAATCCACCAATCATAGACAAGAAAATAGAGCGTAAGTACTTACGTTAACTTAGACAGTTTTGAATGTTTGGGCCCAGGAGCCATACTTTCAAAACTCGCTAAGTGAACGTAAGTACTTACGCTCTATTTTCTTGTCTATGACTAAGTGAACGTAAGTACTTACGCTCTATTTTCTTGTCTATGATTGGTGGATTTGGCTTAAATGGCGGTCAATGATTGGTTCATGGACATACGATTTCTTAACTTTTTTTAGAGTATAGGCCATGGACTCAAAAATTGTGTTTGTGGCCATTGGAAACTATGCGTATGGTGTACTGAAACTATGTTCTGTGCTGAGCTCTAAGCATATGAATGAAAGAACAGTGCTATGCTGTGAAACTATGCTCTATACCTTTGTTACATTTAACTTTAGTCAAGTGTTCTTAATTTAAGTGTTCATTCTTCGTTTAATTAAAGTAATTGTGTTGATTGGGAGATATTTATTGTAACTTGACATGAAAGATCTTACACAGTGATACGCTCACACACGCGGGTAGGTAGCTACGTGTACTTAGGCCGCTACGTGTACTTAGGCCGCTACGTGTACTTAGGTCGCTACGTGTACTTAGGCCGCTACGTGTACTTAGAGCGCTATGTGTACTTAGGCCGCTACGTGTACTTAGGCCGCTACGTGTACTTAGGTCGCTACGTGTACTTAGGCCGCTACGTGTACTTAGGCCGCTACTTGTACTAGACCGCTACATGTACTTAGGCCGCTACATGTACTTAGGCCGCTACGTGTCCTTAAACCGCTACGTGTACTTGGGCCGCTACGTGTACTTAGGCCTCTACATGCCCCGCAACACTCACGGGATGTATGCGCTTGACCGCGACCTCCGTGTTCTTCCAGACGCCCCAAAAGACGCAGCCGAAGCCGCCCTTCCCCAGCAGGTTGCCGCGCGCCCAACGGCCCGTCGCCGCCGTCAGCTCCCCGTACGCGATCACGGGCACGCTGGGGCACGCGCCCCCCTCACTCAGCACCGACACGGACGACGCTGTGGGGTACGGGGGGCATGGGGGGCATGGGGGGAATGATGGCTGAATATGTCATGGCGGCTGAAGGGGCGGACTTCTCTTGGGTTGAATTTATGATAAAAAATATTCGCGGAACTGATATTTGAGGACAATAGTATGCACAATAGACAGGTGTACAGAAGCAGCAGGCTGATGTACGACTGGATATGGTGATGCAAAGCAGTCACTAGAGGAGCTGCGTAGCAGCACGGACGGTGTCGTAGCAACGATTGAGAGCATGCAGACCGCGCCTGCAGGGCTGTGGCACCACTCAAGGTCAACGGTAGAAAAGCTGCCAAAGGCGGCTTTCTTCCTTTTTCTTTATTGCTACGATTAAATTCGAGGAAGAAACAATCCAAAGATCAAATAGAGCTTTTGACATGTTAAAAGCAAACAGCCTAAAACGGAGTTTGCTCTAATTAAAATTCCTTGAATTTAGGGAGGACGTTCTGGATAAATTTAAAGACTTGTGGTACGAGGAGTACTTACTCTCCTTGCGAGAAACTCGCACTAATCTCTATCAGCCCAAATGGGAAGATCGAATTAAAATAGGAGACATCGTCCTCATATCTGCACCCAACATACCTCGTCCACTAGAGATCATAGTTCGCATTTGTAAATTATTTACAGGTAACGACGGAAAGACGCGCTCTGCTGAAAATTTAAGACCTGACCGCTCGGCGGGGGTCTACTCAATTTCATTGTTGTATCCTTTGGAATTCAATTTAGATTCTGTGTCTCCGTATAGTCCTCCTGACGTTCCTCCTACTGTTGCAGGCGCCAGCAGCGGTGGCGGGCTCGCGGAAACGAGAGAGACGCAGAGCTACTGAGCAGTGCTTCCAGCGACTACGTGCCTCGGCTGTAAATTAATGTAATGTTTAACCTTGTATAACTGCCATAATTCATTCCTGAATTTTGTTCCAATTTTGTGCCCCGGGAGTGTGTAAGAAATTACCACTTTCGGATGCATTGCAACCTTCACTTGTTGCCAGGTGACGAGGTAGCGCACCTCTAAATTAGCTCAGATTTGTACCGGCAGCCGACCTAGCAACATCTCTAATCTTACCTGCGACCTGACTCGTGGACTACGCATCTTCAGCAACCACAGGCTCCTAATCCTTGCTGATACCATTGTTCTACTGTCTTATAATTTTGTGTGAATGTAATATCTAGCAGGATTTATTTAACTGTTTATTTCTCGTGAATTAACAAGGTAGGATTTATCTTACGCTCACCATAATTTACGTTTGGGGATAACCTCCATTTGGGACGTTTAAGGTGGATATAAATTACCTTCGGTCATTTGCTGAGGGTCTAGTATAGGTAGATGGAGGTTTAGGGTTTCATTCTTCCTCTAACTTTTTCCCGTGCATTTGAACCTCCTACTGTCCTGCCTGTCCTTTCTGGTGAGCCTTCCTCCAACTTTACACTCCTCTTTTGTTAGGGTTTCATTCCTTAAGCCTAGCAGTTGTAACTACGGTTACACACTGAATCCCGAAGAGATTTAGGTGTATGCCAATATTCTTTATGATTTTGTTAAATACTGCTTTAATAGTTGCATTTGTCAAGCTTTGTCGACGCCAGATCTACACACGTCATAATCTTTAATTTCGTCAACAGTATGAACTTCGACGTTCCTATGACGCCTTTTGCCGATCCTGACCCTTACCTGGAGGATCTATCTATTCTGAAGATTCTAATTTCCCATGTCCAGTTGACTAAAATTCTCGAGCCTGGTCTTACTTAACTTGCTCCTTGGATGAAAATTTTACTTACCATGAATAAACTTCCATTGCTTCCCGAGGATGAAGAAGACCCAAGGAGATCCAAACTTACATCTTATCCAATAAATGATGAAATGATCCTCTGATTATAAATCTTTACTTTACCTATTATCTGGCGAATTGAAAAATTCATTTCAGAATGTCTGCACAGAATGGTCGCCAACACTAGAGTTACTTTAAATTGATACTTGGACTTCATTACCATTAAACAATTTTGGATCATAAATAAACTTCAGTTTAACTTGGAACTAGCAAAATCTAATCAGTATCTTGATGAATAAAATCAAAGCATGCAGTGTTGTAATGCAAAATATCTCTGGTGCAAAGTCAACAGCAGCTGGCACGGTGAGCGGAGCATCACCCAAATGCCCTCTGATTCTTGCAAAGTTGAATCTGATGGTGAGCTGCAGTTTGAGGGATGTACATATTGCTTTCAATTGTGTAAAAGTTTAAAATAACATTTCGTATCGAGTTAATTACAGTTGCCTAGTTTATTAACGTGAAGATATTGATCCAAATTTTGTGGAAGCAGTGACTCATTTTTTTTCATTTGTAACTGTGTCAATGTCTCATGCTCAAGTTTATTCAAGATGTTGATCCGTATAAATTTATTCAGTTACAGAGGCCAGTGACTCACCTCCCCCCCAAAAAACGGAGGCAGTTTACATCAAGGAGGAACCTGAAGAAGGAGAGGACATAACTGTGAAAGAGGAACCAATTGACAGTAATGAAAATGAGGTAAATTCATGATTTGCATCAATGAATTGTAAAGCATCAAATTAACGTATCAATATTTGTACCCTGGTAGTTGGTTTTCAATCAGGTAAATTAGCTGAGCTCCTAAGTTTGAAGAATTATATCCCTCATATCTATGTGTGATTGATCTGAAAATAAAGATTGAAGCTATTTATTTGTATTTGAAATTTGTATATAATTTTAAATGAACCTGTAAACGTGTATGTAATTTTATATTAAGTTTATTTTATCCAGTGAGTTAATGTGGTGTATCATTTGAGCAACTAACCTCTTTTTTCACACCTTGAATATAGGTAAATTCCATTGAATTAATTGTGTGTAGTTCAAGTTTAGTCAATGATGTTTCTGTACATCATTGGTTTTCTTTGCCGGCAAGCAAATAACGAGCATGTCATAAAAAAAGATTTATTTATTATTTGATGATCAGAAGTGCATTGCAATACGAGTTCTGTGACTATGCCAGCCAGTGAAGTTAGTCCTGGTATGCACCTGCCAAGCATTGCTTGGTATATGGGTAATCACGAGCGCCGTGTTCATGTATTTGCTATGTGTGCTCCTGTGATATTTGCTAAGTGTGAGGATTGTAACATTCAGAAGCTCCTTTTTTAATTTTTGCCATCTCTCAAGCAATAAAATAACTTCAAGCCATTGTGCAACAGGACAGGTTGACATTTCACTTTTCAATATTCTTCTCTCCTTTCCACCAAATGCCCAATTGCACTTTTTCTTGTCCTTTGTGTGTCTCATTTGACTTTTAAGAAAGATATAAACACATAGGAGTTGTTACATAGATCAAAATTAGCTAATTATTTGTAATGGAAAACATTGAATAATTTAAAATAGCTCACTATGGGCTGGGATTGTGTGTTGATGCTGATTCCACCACAAATTCCATGTTCCTTTGATGCAATAATGATTCACATGGAAGTGTAATTTTCCATACGAAAAATTACTGTTTATTGTTGCCCATGTGTCCTAAGGGCGTGAGAAGTGGACAGCCCGCTCCCAAGGGTGCCTCTGACAACGCTGCTGGGAGCGTTGTCTCTGCAGCGTACTGCTCCCAGCACGGCCCCAACAGGTTTGGGTGTTCCCAGGGTGGATTTGTTGAGGCCGAAGCTGCAGCCCAACTGCAGCAGTGCCTCGCAGATGAGCAGGCAACCGCAACGCCACTCTCGTGGACGGCAACTTCAGTGCAGCAACTTACGCAACACGTCCGTGCAGAACATAAAGAACTATATCAATGTTTTGACTGTGAATGTACCAGCTCCAGCGAAGGATATCTCAGATACCATATACTTTTTCAGCACCCCTCGCAGAAACCATTTAGATGTTTGGAATGTGATTATTCTTGTGTCATAAGAAGAGATCTGCGAAGGCATGTACTATCCACGCATTCATCTGCGAGACCTTATAGCTGCTCGGCATGTCAATATTCAGGCATCACGGAAAGCGATCTAAAACGGCATGTACTGGCCAATCATCCATCCGAGAAACCATTTAGATGCTCGGAATGTGAATGTTCTTGTGTCACTGAAAACGATCTGCGAAGGCATGTTCCATACAAGCATTCACCCGGAAGACCTTTTATTTGCACCGAATGTGAATATACTGGCGTCACTAAAAGTAATCTACAAAGGCATGTTTTATCCAAGCATTCGTCTGAAAAACCTTTTAACTGCTCGCAGTGCTCATATTCTTGCATCCAAAGACAAAGGCTAGTCCGACACGTGCAATCCAAACATTCCAAGTCCAACTCCTCGCCTCTGAATGTATAAATCTACTTTAATGAATAAATGTATTCCAGTAAATATTTGTTCTCATTTCATTTGTTAAAAACGCCATTCGCTAGTGGGAGTCGGGGATAAATTGACCACTTTCATGCAGAATTTTGTTGTCAGTAAAGCAGTCACGTAAAACTTGCATACCAACTAAATTGTTTTCAGTCTGATATTATGTATAAAATTAAATCGTGAACAAACTTGATGTCATGATGTAGTTGCGAGGATATTCTATCTACCAGAAGCACATCCGTTGGCCACAAATGTAGCTCTTAAATAAGCCCTGAGGCCAACGCACAGCTACTTATTGCCGCAGAGCTACAAAGCAGTTTTTCAGCTGTCAAGGGATGGGAATCACCCGGCATTCTTGTTCATGGAGTCAGTGAGAGTCTGAGAGACTCCTTCCTATTCCAGCACGTTACCAATCCAACCCATTATAAAAGTAAACAGACTCCCAATATTCTAGACCTGGTGTTTACTAGTGATGAATCAATGTTAGATGAGCTTCGACACGAGGCTCTATTGGGCAAAAGCCATCACCAATCAATGTTTTTCATTATTAAGTGCTGTACAGAAAAGACGCCTCGGAAGCGTGAGCGTTTTTGAAGTTTGCTGAAGACGACTATGATAAACTCCATGCAGCAGTGAATATTTCGTACTGTATTACGGACATGAACGTGGCTGAGTCATGGTCATTTCTGCAGGACACGGTTCTGTCTGCAGTTGATGCGTGTGTAACTATAATTGAGCTCGGTGGAGCCAAAAACTCAGTGGATGAGCAGTATAGAGCTAGCTAAGCTGAAAACCAAGAATGAAGCCTACCAGCGTATTTACAGACTCGTAGCGATGCTGATTATAACCTATACCCATGAGCTCGAAATCAAACTGATGAAAGCTGTCGCCCCGCAGTAAAAACCTTCAAAAAAATTATTGCCAAAAATGAAGAAAAAAGAACCCAAAAGCCTTCTTTTTGTGCGCTAGCTCGAAGTGCAAGATAAAAGACGATATTTCTGATTAGAAAGTAGAGCAACGAAAGATATCCTGTGATGAGGGCAAAGCTAACGTTCTTAATCATTTTTTTCCGTAGCGTATTCACTGAAGAGCACTTGAACAGTATTCCAGCTATTGAGGAGCGCCCAGTCGGCTCCAAATTAACAAGTTTTTAAATACATGCAAGAAGAAGAAGTTCTCAAGAGCCTGGTCGCTCTAAACCCCCAACAAGTCATGTGGATCAGACGGCTTCCACCCCAGATTACTCAAAGAGTTAGCAACCGGCCTAGCAGGCCCTTTGATGTCATTTTTTCGAGAAAAACTTTGAACGAAGAGATCTTGCCGGCTGACTGGAAAGACGCTCAAGTGACACCATTGTTCGAGAAAGGTGAAAAAAAAACATCCCGGGCAACTTCTCCCTGCCAGTTTGACAAGTGTCGTTAGCAAGGTAATGGAATCTATAGGGAGGGATCAATTGATCGATCATGTGACTGATAATAATCTATCAGACCATTAACATGGCTTTATTACCGGTAGATCCTGCACCACTAAACTCTTGACTACTCCGAATGAATGGACCCGCCTGCTAGACGAAAGAGTCAAAGGGAGCCAGTAGTTGCAGTGTACCTCGATTTTGCCAAGGCATTTGACACGGTCCCACATGAGCGGCTGTTGCGTAAATTGAAGTCTTTGAGAATTGAGAGTAATGTACTCAAATGAATCATGAATGAATTTTCTAGTAGAGGGCGACAACGTGTCAGTATTAATGGGTCCGTATTAGACTGGGCTTCAGTGCGCAGCGGCGTGCCGCAAGAAAGCGTTCTCGGGCCTGTTTTATTCGCTGCGTTTATAAACGATCTGCCAGAAGCTGTGTCTAGACTCTAGCGTGTGCTCGATGAATACTGACGACACAAAAGTTTATAATACTGTGAAGAATATGTCCCAAAAATTGCAGTTGCGAGATGATCTTGACAGCTTAGCGGACTGTGCTGATAAGTGGCAGCTGCGTTTTAATGCTGACAAATGTAAAGTAATCCACCTTGGTAAGAATACTGAACAGCAAGATTACAATATGAGAAGACACGGTTGCAACGACAGAGTGATGATGTCGAAATCGACTATGGAAAAGAGGAGCAGAGCTGGGCAGCGCTACTTTGAAATGTAGCGGCGCTACCGCTACATGCTCTAAATGTAGCGGGCGCTACCGCTACACGTACTAGATTGTAGCGAGCGCTACCGCTACCGCTACAGTAAAATGTAGCGCCCCTATATTAGCCGCTACAATGGCCAAAATTATTGGAAATCTCTAAATATTTATTGTTCTGCTATTGGGATTTACTCATGAACATTTAATGATGATAAAACATTTTCAAAACATATCAATGCAACTTTATTGCAATTAGCCTAACCGAACTAGTACGGGTTAGATACAGTAAATAAAAGTTGCAGTTATTTATATGTTTTACCTTCGCTACATGGATGTGTACTTTAATCTACCAATCTAAAAAATTATCCACATATACATATAAAAATCAGTCTTTTATTTGTATATATATATATATGTGGATTATTTTTTAAATTGGTAGATTAAAGTAAACATCCATGTAGGGAAGGTGAAACATAGAAATAACTGTGTAAAAATAACTGTAAGCAAACTGAAACATGAAAAAATATCTGTAATTGGTAACTGGTAACAACTTAACAAGTAACAACTAACATGTTGGTGGCAGGGTGGCCCTGTGGTTAAAGTTCAGAGTACCAAGATTGACGCACTAGAGCTGTCTCTTATACACATCTAGATGTGTATAAGAGACAGGAAGACGCCCATCTGGTGTGCTAGCTTCACTTGACGTCACCAACCTCTTTACCAACGTTCCTACAGAAGAAACTTTGGAAATAATTGCTAACCATGTTTATTCAAATGAAAACTTACCGGCTCCATCAATCCCTAAAAAGGTCCTACTTGATCTCCTCCGCATCTGTACTTCTGAATCGCCTTTCCGGACACCTGACAACAAAATTTACCATCAAATCAACGGTGTTGCCATGGGCAGCCCTCTGGGTCCAACCTTTGCTGAATTCTACATGTGCGAACTAGAAAACCGAGTATTGTCGGACGCAACAATCAGGCCTGAAATCTACTGTAGATACGTCGACGACATTTTTGTCGTTGTTCGAGACGAGAATCACATGACGGAGCTACGCGTGGCCTTAGAACTCAGTTCAGTTTTGACGTTCACCTGCGAATTAGGGCTGAATCAGTCTTTGCCCTTCCTCGATGTACTCGTACAAATGGAAGATACAATGTTCGTCACTACAGTTTACCGAAAACCTACAGACGTCGGAAGAGTTCTGAACGACGCAAGTGAATGCCCCCAGCGATACAAAACCAGCACTATTCGCGCCTTAATAAGCCTGTCTCTTATACACATCTAGATGTGTATAAGAGACAGGCCGTGCACCACTAAATTTGTGCACCAATCAGCCTTGAAAGGAACGCCTAGCATATTTCCGGATGACCACCAATCAGCCGCGGATTAAGCCAACCGTCGGTAACCAGCCCGTGACATCATCTTGCTTCAAATATTAGGAGCTTTACGCCACCACATTCTGAAGCGAATAGCCCAGAGAGTAATGGTTATGCATCACTGAACGTTGCATCGAATCATCACTTCATACCCTGACTTAAGCTTGAACTGTAAATTGCGGACAACGGACAGCGACCAACCAGCCCAGGTCGCCAGTGGAACTGCATGCATCCTGCCGTGCACCACCAGACCGTCACTTTTAGCTCAACATCCGGGGTTAGGTTTCAGAAAGCATAGTTCTGTTCCAAACTCTATCGTCCGCCGGCGAGTGACTTCCGCAGCTTCGCTAAATTACGTAACTTTTAACACAGCATCTGAGGTTAGGTTTCAGATAGCATAGTTCTGTTCCAAAATATAGCGTCGTACGACGCGTGGCCGTTCGACCGTACGTGGGCTGGTTCGACACACGGGACAGGTACGGACGGCTCCGGCACGCTCCGTCCGGGTGGTGTAAAATTTTTTCGCGTGTTGGCAGACGACGCTGGGCCATACGACGCCAGGCTTATTTTCCTGTGGGCTGATGGATCTAATTCAATGGATGTGATCTGTCTGGTGGCGTGCGGCTGATAATGTTACAGTCATGAAGTGTTGTAGGCTACGTTCTTCAGGGAAGGGATCATGATAGTCCATTCGAAGCACGGCAGTGGTGATCGATCACCGACAGGCGTCCCATAAATCCTTACTGAGACCTAGGTGCCCTTTGATCTATTAACGTCATCTTTTATTCCCTGCAAATTGGAATGTGATGCATTTTCTGGTTATTATTCGAACGCAATTCAACAAGAAACTTCTGTCATCTAATGCTAATATATAATGGTAAAAAGTGCATTGATATTTGGACGTCTCACTCATTTCTCCAAATAACTTCTATCAATGCTGTTAGTGTCGCTGCGACTTCCGTCCCAGCAGGTTGTGTGTAGCTGTCGCTCCAAAAGCCTCAAATATACGCTTTGTAATGTCGCGCGAGACGGAGCGGTAGCCCCGATGGAACTTAGTCCCGATCCCAGCACATGTGCGCAGTGGAATCGCGCATGCCTATTTTGAGGCCCAGCCATGAGGCTTATTGGTCTCACGCCAGTCTCAATCCTTCCGAATCGAATCAGTCCCGTAATAGAAAAAATATAACTCAGTACTCAATGCAGTGAGTGACAGAGAGCGCATTTTCTCGTCGACGAAAACGTGAAGTCACGAACGGACAGACAGACCGACATGACGAGCACGCCTTTTTTTCTATAAATGAGAAAGTGCGCTAAAAAGACCGTTTACCCCATAAAGGCTGCAAACCCGTCTTACCCTTATTTGACTATAGCGCGGTTAGCTCACAACCACTTCTAAGATCAGTATCAACTCCACATGTGCAACACAAGCATCCGTAGGAGGTACATCCATACCTCTAATTACTCACAGTGAAGGTTGACCAAACGTGTGCCTTGTTATCGACCAAGTATAGATGATAGCATTACAGCATATACAGGCCTACATAAGATTGTATGAGGCTCTATTACATGTAAATACAAATCTATCAATATCTCGCTATTAGAAGAGTGTTCCAGCAACGACAAGTTTAGTGGACAAGTATACTGGGCATTTTTGGATAATGAAAGTTATTATTTACAAATTTAATAAATTTATTTATCTCCAACATAATTAGCTGATATCGCAGGGGTTTGTTTTTGTTTTAGGACTTGAAAAGCACGTGTGATGGAGGCACGTCCATGGATTCAAGGGGGCCGAAAGTGAAGGAGGGTGCGTTCAGAGGACGGTAACTCAGTGTCTGTAGGAGACGGGTGATTAAGGCATGAGTAGCCTATGTCTGATGTAAGATTATGGCATGAGTAGCCTATGGCTGATGGAAGATTAAGGCATGAGTAGCCTATGGCTGATGTAAGATTATGGCATGAGTAGCCTATGGCTGATGGGTGATTGAGGCATGAGTAGCCTATGGCTGATGTAAGATTATGGCATGAGTAGCCTATGGCTGATGGGTAGCTTGCAGGCGATGGATGATTCGAGCGATGAGAAGCCTGCAGCTGACAAGTCAAGCTATGAACAGTCTGCAGGCGACAGGCGAGCGCATCTTACAGAAGGCGCCTAACGGCGAGGAGCAGGCGAAGTAACGGCGCAGCGCCTCGCGTATCTCGTCAGGCGTGATGGCCTCGCCAGCTGCGCCTGCGCCACCCACCTCATCCGCCTGCAGACGAGACATTGCTATTGCTTAACAACACGGCACAAGGAACTGTGAAAAAAAATATATTTCACAGGCCGTAAAAAAATTTAGTAAAAAAAATGTCGTAAAAAATGACAAAAAGATTTAAAAAATTAAAATGTCGTAAAAATAAAGAAAAATGTGTTTGAAAATTTTATGTTGTTGAAATGTTGAGAGTTGTTTAAATGTTGTTGTTGAAAAATGTTCAAAAAATTAAAAATGCAAAAAAAAATTAATAAAATACAGCGCCGAGCAAAAGGCAGCAAGAGAGTTCTCGGGATTACCATTTCAGTCACTAATAAAGCATTGCACGGACAAACAAACTATAATTAATTTTATTTCAGTCACCGAGGGGCGTAAAGAGTAACTAAAATATTATTATAAAAATATTATTGCGAGTGATGCAGCACAGAGGGTTAGGAGGGGTCTCAGAAGGAGAGGTGATGAGGTGCAGGAAGGAATAATGGGTGGGGGTGAAAAAAGAGGGTGATGAGGTACAGGAAGGAAAAATGGGTGGGGTGAAAAAAGAGGGTGATGAGGTGTAGGAAGGAGGGTTTGGTGGGGTAACTAAGATAGAATTACGGTGTGGGGCAGCAGCACGGCGGGGTGGGTGGGGTGCAGGCTGAGGGTGGGGGTGTAGCGGTGCAGGACGTCGGTGACGTCATCGCCTCCAGCGTCACGCCGCACCAGCAGCGCGAGGTCGACGAGCTGAGCGACCGCCTCGCGTGCCAGGAAGTTCAGCACCTCCAGCACGGCCTGTGAGGTGTGAGGTCAGCACGGCCTGTGAGGTGTGAGGTCTGTGAGGTGTGAGGTCAGCACAGTCTGTGAGGTGTGAGGTCAGCACGGTCTGTGAGGTGTGAGGTCAGCACGGTCTGTGAGGTGTGAGGTCAGCACGGTCTGTGAGGTGTGAGGTCAGCACGGCCTGTGAGGTGTGAGGTCTGTGAGGTGTGAGGTCAGCACGGCCTGTGAGGTGTGAGGTCAGCACGGCCTGTGAGGTGTGAGGTCTGTGAGGTGTGAGGTCAGATCTTCATCACAGCGACGCGTGTCATTGAAGGCGCTTACACGCATAGATAAACTTATAGCAAACATAAATATTTATTCTACCCTGGAAATAACTTGCTAAGAATGTTTGTCGCTATCTACAAATTAGTTTGAGGATATAATTTTAGATTTGTTACCATTCATATACCAAAATCATTCTCATGATGTATGCCATTACATATATTTTCGTTGATGATTCGAACCTACCATTAAAATGCTTTCAAGTACATATTTGTTACTCTTGCCATCCCCCAGAGCTGCTATAAGCTTGACTGAATCTTTCCAACAGCTGAAATTTACCAGCGTTAGAGTCAAACACTTGAAGCTCAAAGCCGGGACAAAGTATAAATTGTTTGAACAATCACACAATTCGGAAGGCTGTGCTATTTAAATTACAATCTTTATGACTTAAACTCTATCTTTCATCCTTATCCAGTCAAGTTCCGGTTCCAAGCTAGGCTGTCAGCAACATCACGTAGGCAATCAGCTACCCGGTAGCATGGAGCACTCAGCTGACTTCTCTGGGTTAGTCAGCTAGCAAAGCAACTGACTAACATGACTGAAGCGTCTGCTGATCATGGCAGCTACAACACGTCCAGCAGCCTGAAGGCTCAACTGTCGTGTGTGTGACAAGACTATGTGACGCGTGCGGTCTCTTACGTTTTTGTGAATGCAGGGGATGATGCATTTAAAATCCTTTAATGCATATAAATTAAATGATTCACATTTTAAGCGAATGATTACAAGGCGCAAGTCATTTTTAGGAATGACAGTTTCGGGTCGTTCACACGCATATTATCCTAAAATATTATTAGTATTTTAGTATTAATTACTCGTACTTAACCTGGTTAAGATTGAGTCCTGTGTCGCTGCTGAGCCAGTCTCTGAACTTCCCAACACGAAGGCTGGGACAAAAGCTTGCTCGTCTCGCCTCACAATACTCCTTGTACCTGCAACACAGCCTCACAATACTCCTTGTACCTGCAACACAGCCTCACAATACTCCTTGTACCTGCAACACAGCCTCACAATACTCCTTGTACCTGCAACACAGCCTCACAATACTCCTTGTACCTGCAACACAGCCTCACAATACTCCTTGTACCTGCAACACAGCCTCACAATACTCCTTGTACCTGCAACACAGCCTCACAATACTCCTTGTACCTGCAACACAGCCTCACAATACTCCTTGTACCTGCAACACAGCCTCACAATACTCCTTGTACCTGCAACACAGCCTCACAATACTCCTTGTCTCATCAACACAGCCTCACAATACTTTCAAGTGCCTGCAATACGACTATTAACCCTTTACCGCCAAATCGGACTTTCAAGTCGCCCTTAAAAAACACCAGTTTTCTTTCCTTTTTTCGAAAAATTCACACGAACATAAAAAGTCTTAGATTTATTTTTTACATGTGTACCAAGTTTCAAAGTTATCTGTCTGTAAATAACCGAAATAAAATTTCCAATTTCTTGTGGGAATTTTATTCCGGTTATTTACAGACGGATCGTTTTGAAACTTGGTACACATAAGTAGAAGATGAATCTAAGACTTTTTTTTGTTCGTGTGAATTTTTCCAAAAAATGAAAGAAAACATGTAATTCTTAGAAAACAGCCAAAAAGGGGGTACTGTAGAAATCTATCTCCTCCTAGGATTGTAGAAGAGATATGTAGAAATCTATCTCCTCCTAGCTACAACATCGAGACGCATATCATTCGATGCGTAAGGACCATATCTATCGATTGGTTCTTGTTTTTTTTCGAAATTCTAATTTTTGTGGGTGGGGTGGGCATTTTTCGAAAAAATTGTGATTTCCCCACCCTACCCTTTCGAATTCCCCCCCTTTTTTCAAAATATTTTCAAAACGATAACGAAATTGAAAAAAAAGCTACGACCAATCTCTAGATCTTTTATTTACGAATCGAACGGTAGGTATATCTCTCATTACTGTAGCTTAAAAACTCTAGGAGGAGATAGGTTTGCAGTGGCAATAAGTGTGAATGTTCAGTAGAGCGCAACAAAGTCCCGAGCGCCTCGAAATAGGCATTCAAGGTGGCATGGATGCAAGACTAGACGTTACTGGAGCTGAAATTCAGTCAAGGATGGTGGGAACGACTGCATGAGCACCATCCCACACGACAGCAGCCGGGTAACTAAAGACCAGCGTCTTCAGGTCATCTATTTATGTGCCCGGCCGGTAATTTTCGCCTATCTTAAATGTGAAAGAACTCCCCCACCTCTAACCCTTTCGTGAACTGTCGTCAAGGCATAAATCAACATACAGAGATGATTTTGGTACCGTTGGATAGGTCAGAATGTCAACTTTAAGGTGAGACTAAAAACCAGAGAAGTGAAATTTGCGATTTTTGACCCAGAAATTCGGGCGGTAAAAGGTTAACCTGGCTAACCTGTCTTGGGTGAAGGCTAACCTGGCAGGACTCATGTGTTGGGTGAAGGCTAACCTGGCAGGACTCATGTGTCGGGTGGAGGCTAACCTGGCAGGACTCGTGTGTCGGGTGGAGGCTAACCTGGCAGGACTCATGTGTTGGGTGGAGGCTAACCTGGCAGGACTCATGTGTTGGGTGAAGGCTAACCTGGCAGGACTCATGTGTCGGGTGAAGGCTGACCTGCCAGGACTCGTGTGTCAGGTGGAGGCTAACCTGGCAGGACTCGTGTGTCGGGTGGAGGCTGACCTGCCAGGACTCATGTGTCGGGTGAAGGCTAACCTGGCAGGACTCGTGTCGGGTGAAGGCTGACCTGCCAGGACTCGTGTGTCAGGGGAGGCTAACCTGGCAGGACTCATGTGTCGGGTGAAGGCTAACCTGGCAAGACTCATGTGTCGGGTGAAGGCTGACCTGCCAGGACTCGTGTGTCAATGAAGGCTAACCTGGCAGGACTCATGTGTCGGGTGAAGGCTGACCTGCCAGGACTCGTGTATCAGGTGGAGGCTAACCTGGCAAGACTCATGTGTCGGGTGAAGGCATCCAGGCGGTACGCCCGCTCAGTATTGGCAGGATCAGGCAGCTGGTGCAGGAAGATGTGGTCATACTGCCCCCGCTGGTCTATTGACTGCAGGAATTGAATGCATTGCTTCTTACGATCAGCTGTCTCGCCTCCCTCAACTTCTCCCCCAGACACAGTGCGCTGTAATTCACGGCTATCATCAAGCACACCTGCAATAAGACGTGTGTTACGACACGAGAAGCCGCACCTACTGCAAGAGGAGCACCTAGGTACTGCAGGAGGAGTACCTAGGTACTGCAGGAGGAGCACCTAGGTACTGCAGGAGGCACACCTAGGTACTGCAGGAGGCACACCTAGGTACTGCAGGAGGCGCTGCAGTTTGATGTGGTCATGGCGCATCACAAACAAGATGTCCTCGACGGCCACCTCAGAACTGCCCCGCAGTTCGCTGCCCTCCTGCGCCTGCACGACGGGGAAAAGTTAAGGCTTTCTGGTACATTTAGTTCACTGGAACAGATATTTAAAGTGATACTAGTCACCTGGTGCAGTAGGCTAGTCACCTGGTTCAGTAACTAGTAACCTAGTATAGTAGACTAGTCACCTGGTGCAGTAATTAGTAACATAGTATAGTAAGCTAGTCCCCTGGTGCAGTAACTAGTAACCTAGTATAGTAGGCTAGACACATGGTGCAGTAACTAGTAACCTAGTATAGTAGACTAGTCACCTGGTGCAGTAATTAGTAACATAGTATAGTAAGCTAGTCCCTAGGTGCAGTAACAAGTAACCTAGTATAGTAGGCTAGTTACCTGGTGCAGAAGGCTGGTAATCTGTTGGTGCACAATTGTCTCGACGAGAGCAGCAGTCTCACGCAGAGGTCGCCGGCAATCTCCAAAGCCATGCAACATTTGCTCTATTTCTGAAAAGAGAATATGATTAAATTGGCAAATGGACTGCAATAAATCTTGCAACATAATATCATTAATAGGTATTGCATTATACAGATATAACAAAATTTTACATTAATACAGTATACCTATAACAGAAGCAGATTAAATTTAGGCTTACCTGATATAAAAGACATTTCTTGTCTTAATTCCAGAAAATTTTCACAATAGGTCAAAAGAGTACTCACTGATGTATAAAGAATTTTACTCAGTTTACTGGCATTAGATAAAAAATTTCATGGAACAATAATGTAGCTCTGTCAAAAAATATATCTACAGTTTAAACTAATATTAACTTGATACTTTCAACAGAAATTGGGGTGAAATAATAAAGTCAATCACACATTCCAATCTGAATTGAATGACACGTACACATATCATTTGGGATAAAAAAAAGCTTGAAAAAGCTCCAACTGATATTTTGAAATTGAGCAAGTTAGCAGGATACAAATTTAAGCAAATCTAACTATTTACTTGAAATTTTTTTAATCAAAATACTGTAATTCTCGTGAATTTAAAATCTTGCTGCTTCAAAGTAATGATTTTAGATTCATTCAGAAATATTACAGAACATTAAGAAGTTGTTTGAAGTAAATTTGTAATTCTGCAGTTTGCAGTTCAATTTCATGCTCTTGCCTAATTCATCTATATCCAAAATATGTGTCCCAATCTTGTAGTTGTTGTCAACCAGTCATGTCAAATATAAATGAAGCTAAAATATATAGATTTTAAAAAATCAAATTACTACAAGTATGATTTTCTCAAAAGTACCTAAAGAAAATTTTTTGTAGGTAATTTTAGGGATGAAATTAGAATATTGATGTAAATGGAATTATGTGATAAAATCTGGAACAATTCAGGTTACACTTCTTAAAAAAGCACTGATAAAACTGATCATTTTATGGCAAATTTTGAAAGTTGCAGGCAAAATATGTACCTATGTGCTCTATCAAATGCCAATGATGCGCAATAATTCTTAATTTAGACAAATTATAATTACATGGGAAACTAACTGAGAAACTGGGCAGAAGCTGCCTGTGAATTGGACAATAACATCAGTGAATCTAAAAATTTTACCCATTCCTTAGGCCTCTTCCTAATTCCTTTAGCAAGAGCTAAGAAAAATGACTTATTACCTAAAGTTTTTTTAAAATCCCTACCTGAAACAATGGTTTTTGCCTGAAATTTTAGGAAACTTCTGCTTGAAATTACAAATTGTATATATATGAAAAATATTGTTCATATACATGGACATTTTTGTCTCATCCATCTGAGGGTTCTGACTGTCTTTCCAGTCTCCAGATGCACTTGCAGTTTAGTCAACATAAGTCATGTAGTATTATACATCCAAAGTGGAAAATTGGGCAGAAGCCACCCATGAATTGGACAAAAATGCCTGTGAATTTGGCCAATTTCACATGTTCCTATCAATCCTATGGCCTTTTCCCAATTTCTACAGTAAAAAAATAATAATAACAGTCTATATTAAACCACAATTTTCAAAAATCAACTTTGAAACAATTACTTTTGCCACCAATTTAAAAAAAACTTCAGCCTGATACTCCAAAATCAAAACGGTACTGTACAGCTTTGGTGTTGCAAATTGGTTTGTAGGAATTTGTAGCTCAAAACTGAGTCAAAATGTGCACTCTCATTCTATGGCTTAAAAAATTGTGTTTCATCTCAAAAATGGATTCACAGCTCAAAAATTTTCTTGCAGCTTCAAAATTTACAAACTAAGGCCAGATTGCCAGAGGCTTTTGAGTGAAAGTCAATGGCTATACATCTTTGCCATGAACCCAGGGCATCACCACCACAGTGGCATCAGTATGAGCAAAATCAAGCTCTTGTGCCCTAATTTGATTTCAAGTGTTATTGAATACTGAAGTTGTGTCGGCATAACTTTAATATAACTACCGTGAACCTTCTCAACCTGTACTTGCACAACCATCAAGATTTGTTGCTAAGAGCACAGGTTAAGGAGCAAGAGCATTGTATTTAAATGGCAATTGTGTTACAAAGTGGCAAACATTTGCCATTGCAGTTCAGTCATCTGAGTACAAAATTTCCATACCTATACAAGTCAGAGAATAAGAGGGTGCAGCCATAGGCCATAAATTTTACTCTTAAACAAGCCCTGGAGCCAATGCTGAGCCTTACTTACTGCCTTAGCATGCAACAACTTTACTCAGCCACAGAACCAGAATTTGCCAAATATACTGGAACGCCATAATCCAGACCAGTGACACATTGCTCAAATATAATGACATTGTAGATCTTCAGCAATACTTAAGCATGCTTGATCATAAGCAGGCATTTCTGCATCCGGCTACACTTACCCCAGCCTATTCTGGTCTAACCTATTCATGCTGTGCTGGCTCTGAGGCTCACAACCTTCTTGCAGCCAAGGACTAGCTCTACCAGCACACAATCACCTTTCTAACTTCCTGCAGCCAATGAGGTTAGTTTAGGTCTGCTCAGATTTGTTTTCAGTAGGGAAAAGATGCAACTTACATGGGTTAGGGATGAAGAGGTGAGGCCAGATGCAGTCTGCATGGCCATGCTTACCTTTAGTAAGCTTAAGTTGATGTTGTGGGTGGCTGGCTGTGGTTATCCAACAACATGGTTTTTAGCAGGTGACTTTGTAGGCTGCAATGGCCATTAGTGTTCTCACCCACAGAAAGGAATGTGATCTAAAGTGTGCAGTTTGGCAAAGCTGGACTCCAGCATGTGCCCTAAATCCTAATAATACTTACGTACTTGGTTAATACGGTGCCAGGTGCAGCACAACAATAGCAACAAAGGCATTAGCGCCCCCACTCTGCCTTATTTCAGATTGATTCCACTATTCCAGTAGTTGAGTCTTGTGCAGAAATTGTATTATCAGTACTGTGTCAAAGGGAGCCAGGTGCCAGGAGAATTTTGCTTGAGGTTGAATAGAAGCAGAAGGGAAGGTTTAGCTGCAAACAGGCAGAGCATAGGCTACAATCACATATGAGCCACGAAATTTCAGAAACGAGTAGGAAAATTCCAATCCTGCACCAGGTTGGTGGTGCTGACTGGTGCATGTTATTAAGCTTCTGGTAATGCAGAGCAGGGTTAGCTTTTGGTGTTTAAGCAGGTCCAAATCAGCAGGACTGNTGAAGCATGGAAACCTTCTACCATTAGGGCCGCAACTAGAGCTTTCCCAGTAAATTCCCACCATTTACGGAGCTACAAGATTTCTGCTAGATGAATTACCTCCTAAGAGTCCTATGACCTATCTAAGTGTTAAGTAATGTGCACTAAAAATTCATCACATTGGAGCTGTAAGAGGCAAGATTTCAGAAACAAGTAGGAAAATTGCAATCTTGCCAGGCTCGGCAGGCTGTCCTGGTGGATAAAATGCCTGGTTAATGCCCAAATTTTTTGTAAAATTTTACCATGGAAAACTAAGTACTGCAAATATTTGAAATTTGTAAAATGACATTATGATCCTATGTTTCAACAGCAATTTTTACAAGTTACAACCAAACAAAAATACATTACATTTAAGTTTTAACATTAGAGCCGTGAGCATGAGACTTAGTTTCTAACTTGAAATATGATGTTACAGCTGTGATATTTCAGAAAATAAATGCATTTTCGGCTTTCTCAAGTAGTCAGCACTCGGCACAACTCACAAGTGCCGCACTGTTGAAGCAGGGCATGCAGGTGCTGGTTACTGCAGGATGCAGGACCGCAGGCGGCCAGGCCGCGAGCAGGCGCAGCAACACTGTGACTGGGTCACCAGTTACAACTGATGAATTAATTCAGGATAAAATTCTAAAATTGGTGGTTCATACATTACTTTAGAGTCTAAATCCATGTAGGCCAGCGTTTCGATCCAAAAAATTAAGTTTGAAAAATTGAAAGGCTGCAGTTAATAATTTGAGAAAAAATCATCGTAACGACGTAACACCTTCAATCGTTACACCTTCAATGCCAATTGCTAGTCCCTCTTTGACCGTGACCTACACTGTCAGTCAACGACTGAGGACTGACAGACGACAGTGACAGTGACGCAATCACGTTACACGTAAACAATTGAAAGTTAAGACAATCGTTCGAAGGAATTTAATTAGACGGATAAGTTGTATTGTAATCGTTCATCAACAGAAATTGAAGACAATGAATTGAAATTAAATGAAATAAAAACATCGCACGCTACTCATAAAAAATCACTGGCTCAAGAAGTGTCGATTCAGTCAATGGTTGCCGGTTCATAATCATGGTTAAACTAGTAGAAGGTTGGCGGAACTTTTCGTGGGTCAACCTGCATATTAACCTGCGCGATTATGAACCATGGTTCATAATCGCGACGGCACCTCGCACATTTAAAGAGATCGTAATAGCCCATTTAAAAGAGAATCACGAGAGGCTTATTTTGCTTGCAGGTTCTCCGGCTGGTTGCCAAATCAAAAAAACGGACCGGGGCGCAAGCCCCCGTTTTTCCGCCATTTGCGTTTTGACTTTAGTACTTTGATTTTTATACTTACAT